ACCCATACCTAAATATTTTATGTATAATTGAGAGACTTGATGAAGTTTAACCATTTTACAATTAATAGTTTGTGAATTGTGTTCTCAAAGGGTTATTAGATTAGAACAAACATCAATTATAAGTTTTAAAATTTTATTATATATATTATCCATATATTTTTTATTATGAAAATCCAATAATTTGAATTAATAAGTAAATGTAAACTATTTAATTTTCATAAAATATATGAATAAGTAGGTGAATCATCAACATTAATCGACTTCACAGTCAATAGTCAATGAAAGAGTCAACAACTATTCCCTGGGTCCATTCAACATAGATTGAGAGCGAATTGAGAAAGTCAGAGTTTGTTCAAAAACTATAGTGCGATTGCGAGGGTTAGTTTTCTTCAATGGATTCAACAAAAAGCGCTTCTCCATTCCTTGCTAATCTTCCTAATCGTGGCGTTCTCCCTTCCACCGTCGTTTCTTCCAATTCGGTATCATTCCCTCTCCACTTTTTCACTAATTACTGCACCGTTACATTTTGCATATCGCCGTCAAAAAATGTGGATTCAATTCTTAAGTTTTCGATCTTTTCAACTACAACTGTAGGAGTAACATTCCATATCTAATTTTTGTAATTATACTCAATTTTAACCTAAGTTTGCTAATATTAATACAATTTGCGGAAATTATACTAAATTCTCTGATTTTTAGCTTAATTACGCTGAACTCCATGAGGACCTTATGCTGTAAACTTGATTTATTATCTTTATATATTTTTTATGATTTTATTTCATAGATGTTATTTTTGAATTTGATGTTCTGATTTTGCAGGGTGGAATGCGGGTTTATATATCTGTTGGTGATACCTCACCTCCAGGTTTTCTCATTCTTTATCTTAATTGCAATTCATTAAGTATAGTGTAACAGCTTCAATACTGTTATATCATATGTTTTCATTTTTTATCCTGATAGAAAGTCTCTTCAATAGGAATTTTTGTTAAGCTATCACAATTAGTTATTAATATGATATACTACTTAGCAATAAGTTTCATTCTCTTCACCAGAGTTAGAGGAATGTTTCTTATCATTGATGAGAAGCAGCGTGTTTTAAATTGCGGCCACAATTGCGGTTACTGCGATGCGGTTGCTGTAATATACCCTCCCCGCCTAGTGACCATGAGTTCATGGGTTCAAATCTTGGAAACAGTCTCTCCGCTTGTAGGGTAAGGCTGCGTACATCTACCATTGCCAGACTCCACTAAGTGGGAGTCTCGTGTATTGGGTCACCCTTTTATTTTAACTATATTTTCCACCAACTTTGTCAAGCTTGCTCAGACCTTTACTATCTTAGTTTTCCTAAAGTGAAGATTCATTTTCTAAATGGGTCACGTTATTGATTTTTTTTGGTTAAGTACTTTCCGGAAACTTTGGGATCATATGATAAGGTTAAAAGCTCCTGCCACCCTCTTGACATTGTATTACTAATCCGGTCTCTGACTTTGAGCCACCTAGTTACACATGAATCATGTTAAACATGCTAATTCTAACAGTCATTTCTCTTTAGTTGTTTTTTAAGTAGAGAATTGTTGTTCAGTGGAGATTCTGATTCTCTTTTTTATCCAGAGGGCCAACATATCAAGACAAACCAACAAAACATACTAATCAGATCGCTTACTCTGAAGAAACAAAAGGATGCATCTGACAGTTCGAGAAAGAGGTATTATTCCTACTTTTTATAGGTTAGTAACATTTCTAGTGTACAGTATTATATGTATAGAAAATTCCCAACAAAATTGCTGCCATGTTCTCTCTTTTGGTTAAAAACTTATGAGACATATTTCTCTTGCCACTTGTCAGCTTCTCTAGTGGATTAGTTTATGGCATTGTCTCCCATTCTTTGATGCCTATATTTTTATGTTGTCTATGTGTTATTGAATCCTGTCTCATTGAACAATTTATCAGGCTTGCTGAAAAGGTTATTGAAAGCAAAACTCCAGCAAAGAGAACAAATAGTCAAATAAACTCTCTACAGGGTGGGTTCATATGGTCTTTCTAGTCTATTGGCATTGAGTAAGCCTGATACATGGTTTAAGAATTGTCTTATAATTCCTACACCCTTATATGTTTACCTGTTTTTTCTGATGACAAGAACATTTAATTTTCTTGAGATTAATAATTCTCAAATTGGTCTGTCATTATTCATGTTTCATGGTTAAGGCTAGATGTCATCTGTCTGATTCATGTTCATGCATGCACCTCAAGTGTATATGTTAATTTACATCTATAAAAAAAGTTTCAGTCTATACCTTTTCTTTTCAAATCTATAACAAAATCATGTATGGTTATGTGTAACAAGTTATGTTCATAAAATATATTTAGTTTTAGTTTAAAACCTGCTTTCATGTCCCTTGTCAGTGAAGTTCATTTTGCATCATAAATTGTAACAAATTTGTTTCGACCAATATTAAAGCAAATCTTGTTTGGTACTGGGTATTAAGTTGTGTTCTTGAAAGGAAATGTTTCTATTATTAGTTTAAAGAAAGTGAGAAGAGAACCAAGGTGTACTATGGTTGTTTGGTCTTGTACTCTTGTGTATTTGCTTCTAAATTCAAGTTGGTCTTGTACTCTTGTGTATCTGCTTGTAAATTCAAGCTGGTCTTGTATATCTGCTTGTAAATTCAAGCTGGTCTTGTATATCTGCTTGTATATTCAAGTTGATCTTGTATATCTTGTAAATTCAGATTTAAAATTTTCCTAGGGAAGACCTCTGATTCCTCAGCCTTGTTTTTATAAAGTATGATAGATGTCATATTTATCCTTGTTGATTTGATACATGATTTGTGTAATTGATGTTACATGAGTTATTTGTTCATTGTTCCATATGCACTATACAACATAAAAAAACGACTTCATAAGTAGAGTGAGGGACTTTATAAGACTATACAACATAGGGAGTACCTACAACCTTTGTAAAATGTCTTATTTCGCCTCAAGCATTCTACCATATCTCAGTATGACTTATTTTACTCTGTCTTGTTATGTATGGCTTTTAAACATTCAGAGGGATCAAGCAGTCAAACATCTCATAGGGACTTCCAGAACTTGACTGTAGAGAGGCTCCGTGCACTTTTGAAAGCTCAAGGTCTTCTGACCAAGGGAAGGAAGGCAAGTCTCATGGTTTTGTTATTTTTTCCCTAAAAGTTGACATGAATGTTAACCGGTATACAATGGTTAATTGGTTATAATCCATGAAAAATTATTATTAGAATACTTCCATTTGTATTTTTTATTTATATTGTTCTGGTGTTTGGCTTTTACTAACTAATGAATAAAATCTGCAGGATGAGCTTATTTCGCGTCTTAAAGAAGCAAATAGTTGAGCATAGCATGGAAGGAGGAATTGTCTGTTGACTCTGTTCATTAAACATCCGATGTAAGAGTATAGTTGGTTTACTTTTTAATGTAACATAGAACCCGAAACTTAATATATTATTACTGCTGCCATATTTGAATATTTCAGGAGCATTATGTTTTGTTTGGCATGCATATTATATTTAGTCTTTGACCAAAAAAATGCACAATTAGTTTCATCCATGGTGGCTGTCAAGTTTCATTCCTTTTCTGTTTTTTTTTAAATCACCTTCATTAAAACGTTATAACTTATTCTTTAAAAATTGGTATGCCAACTTTTTGTGTGAATTCACTGGTACATGGGATGGGGTGTGCAATGGAATTCACCTTCACTATTGCATCTCTTCTTTGTATATCCCATCTTTTGTTAACCTTTCGATGTAGATGGTTTTTATGGTAACCTTTGTTTTCAGTATATCCTACATTATTTAGCTTTGTATCTATATTTGTTCAAAAATAATCTAAAGGTCCGAAAGAGAGGTGAAACAGTAGAGAAGGGTAGTTGAAGAGAAACATCATCTTTTTTCTATTATGAGAGAGTTTGAGAAGACAGAGTAACAATGAGACCCACTAAATTTCTTTCTCCTCTCATGTGATGAGAAAATGAGAAAGGAAGACTAACTGAGTGAGGGAGAAAAAATATTTTTTTTTTCTTTTTCTATACAGCCAAATAATAGAAAAATTTATTATATTTCTCATCTCTTAATTTCTTCTTTCCGACCAAAAGGAGTCTATTAAATATTTAAATATAAGGAGCTGGTTAAGACAATGAAATGGTGGTGCTCATAGATGTGCATACCAGAACTGATGATTGAGAATTAAGGTGAACAATGAAAAGGTAATGGATGGTCACAATTAATTCCGAACTATAAAATGTTTTCATGCTGGTCCCTCTGGTAAACATGGTTATCTCATAGAGCTAGGTGATCCCTATGGTAAATCGTGTTTTTTTAGAGTGCCAAAAACTGTCATTTTGCATTACACCCCTATTTGTATATGTTTGGAGACATTTGTACTCTTCATCTTCAACCTGATTTAGAGTTGCAGATTTTAATTCGAGACAATTTAGCCTGGCTTAGTTTTAGCTTCTCTTCTCTTTCAAAATAGAAGTTAGGCCAAACACATTGAAAGGCTCCTGAAAAAGGAGATAAAATTTATACATAAAACTAAAGGGGTGAATCCTCTATGAAATCCATTACTAGACTGTTTTTTTTTTTTTTTTTTTTTGTATAATTGAGAGTATCTCTCACCTTATTTGTAAGAAACTAATTTTTTTTAGATGTATAGTTGTTTGTCTATTCCAACAAGTATTGCTTCTAGGAATTAAACTTTTTATCTTTAATCTATTTGGAGATTTTATCTTTAATGTCTTGATGATGTTAAGCAATGGAATATAAAATAAATGTTGTTTAAAAATTTGTGTAGTTATTCTATAAAAAATAATTATCTGTATGGGCAAAAGTCATCAATTTCACTCTTTAAAAAAGTATAAAATAAAAAACTCATTAATATGAGAAGGACGAAAATAGAAAATTGGAGATAAAAATAGGTTTCAAACATCAAAGGTATGATAATGTGTCACTTTATTTCACTTGTCACAAATTAATTTGCTTCACCTATTACCCATAGAGAAATTTAGGGAGATAACTTCCAAAAACTAGATGATGGGTTTCTCAAAGATATTATACAAATTTCAATTCCCCACCCATCCCATCAACTTCATAATTCTAACCATGAATACAGTCTATAGCTATTAGTGAACAATAGCACAGATCACTCAAAAAATCATCTACAAAAAAATAAATTTAAAATTACATCGCAGTTAGGAATTGGCACAATCAAATTTTATTGCCAATGCCCAATAACAAAGATATAAACATATTTAACTAAAATGGTAGGGGTGTGCCAGGCCAGTGCTATAGTGCAACGCGCAAGCGACACAAGAGAGACCCAATAGCAAGCTACTGTGGTGATTCCTCCCCTTAAAAAATTAATTTAATATCATGTGGGTTAATAACCCACATATCAGATATTAAACTGATAAGAACAGATACTACACTTGATCTTAGCCAAAAGGCCGAGAAAGGTATGAGTTTTTCATTTCATTGACGCTGCTTTTATAACGTGGTGTTAGGTGCTTTCTTGTTCACTCAACGATATGGGACTTGGTAACTAAGACTGCACTAAACCTTTCTCCTGATTACATTTCTATCTTATACTTTTGTGCCTTGAAATGTAATATTACTACTACTAAGATTCGATTATCATCCTCAATACAGAAGACATGCTAAAAATTGATACATTTCTTTTAGCCAAATTACTATTCCACATATCATCTCTCACGATTTGGGTAACGAACTAATTCATTTTGGGTGCATGCCTAACAAATGTCTCCCATGACATAGTTAGATAAAAATAAAAAACAGACTTAGATTCGCCAAAAATATCCTTATTACTGAAATGCAGTTAGAAAAAACAATTTATAGTTGTATACCTTTCAAAAACAAATTTATAAATCAGTGGTTCGTGTCTTTACATAAAATTCATAACAGGATTAGGAATAATGTACAAACAAATCAATCAAAACTAGCCACCTCTTCATAACCAATAAATGAATAAGTTACATATGAGCCAAAGTGAATCAATCAATGAATCACTGCATCATAATTCTGAATTCTTCAAAGCTAAGCATGCCATCCCCATTCAAATCAAACCTACTAATCATGAATTTGCAATCATCAATAGACTTAGACTCCCCCAACTTTTTCAACATCCTCTTCAAACTCTTTGGTGTTATGAACCCACACTTTTCCTTATCATAAATCTCAAAAGCTTCTCTCAAATCCATCAACTTTTCTTCTTCTCCACCTGCTTCCATCAACTTTGCAAAATCCTCTAAACAAAGTAAACCATCACCATCCGAATCCATTGCCTCAATAACCATTTCAGCTTCTTTCAGCAAAAGCTCCCCACCCATCTTACAAAGCATTTTTCTAAGCTCAGATGGTGAAATTCTACCATCCCCATCTTCATCAAAATAGCTTAGAACACGCTCAAACTCAGCATATCTCTTCATATCACAAAAACAATACTGGGTTATCCTATAATCAGGTTCTTTCACTCCCCTTATGAAGAAAGATGAAATATTTGTATATCAAAATAAGAACAATAACGATGCAAAGGTAAAACAGAAACTTAGAGGGAAACTATATATGTTTTTCTTTGAACTACAAATAACAAATGGAAGTTGTATTTATATGCATGAAAGAATTGTTGGTTGTGGAGTGAGTTTTGTATGAAATTATTGTATGATTGGCGCGTTAAGTAATAACTGTCCATAAGGTTGCGATGGTGGGAAGGTGCTGGTAGTGTTCAGAGAGGATGAGCTTGGTCATTACTACGTGTGTGTGTATATATATATATATGGTTAAGTTGTGTCGACTTCGTATACTTTCCATTAATGGAGAGACAATGCTTCAAAAAAAAACACAATTTTTAATCACACCTTTATTATTTTAAGTATAATAAAATTACATTTTTACAATTAAAATAAAAGAAAATACATGTATTTATCTATCCGATTATATCATTTTTTTCGTCTATGTAACACACGGGTTCAATGAGACCAAGACAAAGAAAGTGTTCTATCGTAGGCCTAGGACTAGTTCTCAAATTTCAAACGGCCTAGAACAACCCAGATTAACGGTCAACGGCCGGTGAACTTCTATTCATGGCTTGGAGACTTGTTTATTGCAACTAGGAGTAGAATACTGTAATATAATTGTATGGTGATAAAATTGACTGAAAAAATAGTAAAATAATATATCATAGAACATATAAGGAGATTACAAAGTATAATTACTTAAGAATGAGGTTATGGGTTCGAGCCTTACTCATGACAACTTAAAAAAATGGAATTATAAGGTGAGTTTGAGGTTGAGGGTTTAAATCTCGTCTATAACATACTAACAATTAACATTTGTTGATAAAAAAAATAAAACATGATTATTTTTTTGACTTTTCAAATCACAACAATATAGTCATATATGAGTGAAAATTGAAAATTGAATGACTTTATGTAAATTTTTATATTAAAAATACATAAATTTTTATATTAAAAATACATAAATATCATATTCTTTTATCTAAAAACTCACTCAAAGGGTCAAGTGCTTGTTTTACGTGGAATAAGTCCTCACTTATAATTTCCTTAAATGACTTGTCAAACACACTCTACATGGAATTATATTTATCTCTCACTTTACCTTTTATATTTACTAGTGTGTTGATATGATGAAAAAGTATAATTTATATGCAATAATTTATGGTTTATGTTGAAGTTAGAAGTATATATAATATATATATATATATAAATTATTTATATAATGATGTAATTCATGTTCTCTTGAAATGTGTAATTTACATAAACATAAATATAAAAGTGATATGTAGAAATTATATTATTCATCCAACATAAAATAATGAAACATTTTTCTTATTAATACATGAAACATTACAATTAAACCATGTTTTATACATGAAACCTAAAATTATGAAACATTAAATAATGAAATATGTTATATGGTTTTTTGGTAGAAAATATATATTAGTAAGGGTAAAATAGAAAAACACAAATTACACCATCATGGTAGTTATTTTGTGTTTTCCCTTTATATATTAGTATAGATGTTGTTGTGAGATAATCTCCCTCTTTTTTTTTCTTTCAGAAAACAGTGATAATCTCCCTCTTTTTCCAACTTAAAACATACTATGGATTGTCATATTGAATACTTAACATATAACATAGCATTCAATTTTTATTATGACTAGGGTGTCTACTTGCACTTTATGTTTATTGATCCCTATTTTTATTTTTCTGATAGTATAAATGAAATAAACTAAGGTCAATTTATATAATCATGTAAGGTAATTATGTGTACCCGTGCGTAAAATTTGATGCCATATATGTAACCATGTAACATAATTAGATAACCGATTATTTATTTATGCACGATGACACATTACAAATACTTATGGGAATTGTAACCGATTATATATATTTATGCCCAATGATGCATATATATATATTGAGAATACCCTCCAACTATAACGTTTTCAATGTAAATGACAGAAAGACAATAGGTAAACTATAATATTGAACACATACTCACATAAACTACCCTTCAATTTTAACCCTTTTCCAAGTCTTCTTTCCTGAATATATAATTGAAATTCATATAAAACTTAAGAGTCTTGAAAAGTTAGTGGCCTTAACCTACTCATATTCTTAAGCATTTATTCTCTAAAAATAGTTGAAATTATTAAACTCCATGAGTCATGTACCAAATTAAGTATCAAAGTAAACAATAAAAATGGCTAAAGAACATATGGACACAAATCAAAACCTTACTATGAAAAAAATTCAATAAAACCTAAGATTATACGAAAAAGCATCAAGTTGTGAGTTGAAGAAAGTTGGTTTTTTGATTCATTTGTTTAGTTATCTCAAAGTTCATTTCTTCTTTTCAAGTTGGCCTTGTATGGAAATCATTTGTACTATCAATACAATTTTAATAACACATTAAAAAAATAATTCTAATTAAAATTTAATACTAAATGATAATTCCAAATATAATTGGTTTTTTGATTCATTTGTTTAGTTATCTCAAAGTTCATTTCTTCTTTTCAAGTTGGCCTTGTATGGGAATCATTTGTACTATCAATACAATTTTAATAACACATTAAAAAAATAATTCTAATTAAAATTTAATACTAAATGATAATTCCAAATATAAATACATTTTTCTCCTATGATGTATTGAATACGTTTTATACAAAAATTTCTCCTACTAGTTATAAGAGATGTTCACAATCTCATGGATAGAGTTTAAATATTCACAGAGCAAAAGAGAACAAAAATCATAGACTCTGTTTAAGATTTTTTTCTTATAAAAATGAATTTCCATAGTGTTTTCCTCTTATTATCTAATCTTCACAAATACCAATAAAAAATTGGCCTAATAGTGTAAGATCATGCTAGATTTTATGATGACCAAAAGTTTGAGGATTCCATTCCTGGGACGACACTTGTTAAGAGAGACAGTCACACATCCCGAAATAGATTAGTTCATTAACTAAAACGTGAGTAATACAAATTTTTCTCTCCAAAATGATATATTGGGCTTCTTACTTATATTTGGGTTGGGCCAGTCCACACCAATAATGGAGTTATCAGCCCATAGAGCCTCTTTCCTTTCCCCAAATCAGCAACAATTTACTTTCTCTTAAGAATTTCACACTAAGCAAACACAGATCTCACACTGCAACCTTTCTCTCACAATCGGTATTTCAGCCTATCTTTCTCCCCAATCTAATATTTTGTTATTTACGGAAATAATATTATTATTTTTATAAAAAATGATTTTTTTTCTGGTTAGGTTTACAATCATGAAGCTTGATACCAGTGGTCTTGAATCATTCTCTACACAAATTGGACTTCGAAGCAATATTGTTGGAGAAATTTCATCTGCAACATCCTTCGATCTTCCAAATTCAAGCGATGTGAGTAACTTTTTGTTCACCTTGCAAATTTTAAAAATTACGATTTCTGTATATTGTTAATAGGGTTTAAATTGAATTACTAAAAGGTTAAAAGCGTTGAAATTGAATGTTTGTTAGGCAAAAGGGTTGAAATTTATCTTCTTGGTTAATGGTCTTATGAAGTTTTATGTGTTTGTTTGTTAGTTTGATGGGTTTGTGAAAGAAGCTATTCAGATGGTGAAGCCTGCAAAGGGTACTACAACTCTGGCTTTTATATTTAAGGATGGTGTTATGGTAGCTGCTGATTCTCGTGCTAGTATGGGTGGATATATTTGTGAGTCTTCAACTCTTGTTTCATCTTTTCATATGTTTTGATATTAACCCATTTTGGAAAGATGAATTTTTTGTCAATTCTTTATATTGATGCTAGTTAGACAATGAATTTATTTGTTTACTGTTAACCTTTGTGCTTGATTATCTGTAGCATCTCAGTCCGTGAAGAAAATTATTGAAATCAATCCATATATGCTTGGGACGATGGCCGGAGGAG